TTCCCTGCCACTGGGGGGGGGGGCTTTAAAAAAAAACTGGCAACAAAATAGTGTTATAGCTATAGCAACGTACGCACCAGGTCCCAGCTTTCTTTTTTTTAAAAAAAATTTCTAGCTCCTTCCTTTGAGGAGATATGCCTTTTCCTTTATATCTCTGCAGCAGGAGCTAGAAACTTACTTTTTGCTTTAAAATGAAAGCTAGGAATTCGGAGAACCTGGTACAGATGCTGCTCTACTGTGGTATCAATATACCACTATTCAACAGCTGGTTATTAGCTGGGAGCCAGTTTGGTGTAGTGGTTAAGAGTTCGGACTCTAATCTGGGAGAACCGGGTTTGATTCCCCACTCCTCCACTTGCACCTGGCTGGATGACCTTGGGCAAGCCGTAGTTCTGATAAGAGCTGTTCTTGAAAAAGAGCAGTTTCTGTCAAGAGCTTTCTCAGCCCCACCGACCTCACAGGCTGTCTGTTGTGGGGAGGGGAAGGGAAAGGAGTTTGTAAGCCGCTCTGAGACTCCAAGGGAAGGGCAGGGTATAAATCCAATCTCTTCTATTATTATTAAAAAATGACACACACACAATCACGACAGCCAAGCCTCAGGGAAGTCCACCAGCCCGCCTGCCATTTTCTGGCTGTGGGGTTTGGCTCTAGCACCTCTAGTTACCATCAGTGGGGAGAAGCCTCCAATGCCGGGATGGTTAGCCTGCCAAGTCAAAGCGTTCTCTGTTGACTGATGACGGAGAAGCTCAAGGGGGGGGGGGGGAAACGGACCACTGAAGGCGCTTTAGACTTTACAGATCTCGACGCAGCAAGAACGAACGGCAAGCAGAAGTGGGAGTGGAGAATCATGTTCACCTTTCTTTTGTATCTTCTGGTCCTCCACGTCAGCTTTAGTTGCCATAACTTCAAACAAGGTCTTCAAAATACTTCGCAGGTCGCAGGCGTAGTTGGTCTGGAGTTGGTCAGCTACACCTAGCAGATTTGGACAATGGTATATTTATTTAGAAAATGTAAATGCCTCCTCTCCAAAAACCCACTGGAAGCAGCTCAGAAAGTAAAAACAATGATATGGTAACACCAATAAAATGATCAACAAACACCCGAGCCGTTAAATACAGTATTAACACCCTCCTGCTGACTTACTTGGATTTAAGTGCGTAATTCTGCTTAGCGATGCGCAACAAATTCAGTCACTAAAACCAACCACCAAAGCTAGTTGGGGGTAGTTTTGTCACTAAAACCACCCCCAAGAGCACAACGGAATTTTACAGCTACTAAAGAAGAAGAGGAGGAGGAGGAGATTGGATTCATACCCCCCCCTTCACTACCCAAAGGTGTCTCAGAGCGGCTTACAAACTCCATTCCCTCCCCCTCCCCACAACAGACACCCTGGGAGGTAGGCGGGGCTGAGAGAGCTCTTGACAGAAACTGCTCTTTTTCAAGAACAGCTCTTATCAGAACTACGGCTTGCCCAAGGTCATCCAGCCAGGTGCAAGTGGAGGAGTGGGGAATCAAACCCGGTTCTCCCAGATTAGAATCCGCGCACTTAACCACTACAGCAAACTGGCTTAAAGAGTCTACGCCTTTAAAATGCTGTTTCATAAATATTAAAATGGCCGCCGTATTCTAAACCTTTTGATCTGAATTTTATTAGAAACAGTGCATGGTACTCCACAGTGATAACTGTGGGCTCTTTTTGGCTTGCTAACTGAATGAGCAATGGGTTTGACCCCATTTTCAAAATATTTGAGAACTGCGTAGCTCAGGAGAAAGGCATATATTTTAAATAAAATGGAAATACTTTTAACTCAGATAGCGTTATTCCTTATTATTATGCTGATTAGATCAGTTCCTAGCCAGAGACTGTTGCGCCGACGCTGGCTGTAAATGCCCTCTCACCCAAAGATCCCATCATTTGATTTGGACTGGAAAATGCAGTTACGATCCTCAGGTCTAGCGTTTAATTCCTTGCTCTCATTTCTAAACTTCTTTTACAAAGTATTAGATTAAAAGCAGTCAAAACAAAAGGAAGCGTGACACCTGAGATGCAGACAAAGAGCCTGTGAATCAAGTCGTTACTGCTGTGAAATCGAGATCGGATCTTTTCTCTCGTAGAAATTTCAGCTGTTTGTAAGGCAAGTCGGGTTTCTTCCTGACTGGTTTCGTTGGATGAACAGGAACGTGTCGTTAAATAACTGGAAGGGGGGGGGGGAGAGAAGCAAGGATTAAAGCGGAAGTTAAATCTGTTTTCATAGCATTTCAAGACGGTGAAATATTTTGTTGCTAGGGAATTCAAAGGTATGGTACCAAACAGAGATAAATATTTGTTGCACTAACTGAATTCTAAGTCCTTCTAAGTCCAGGGTCTCCAAACACACACACACACACACACACACATATGGTTTTTGTGTGCTTGCCTAGAATTCATGGTTGACTTTTGGCGACCCCTATGTCAGACCCTTGCACGAACTCACTCTCAACAACACTCTTCTGTTAAAGATTTGTTTG